GAATTATTATTATTATTATTATTATTATTATTTTATTTTATTTTTTTTTGTATTAATGTATTTTTATTAGTTGCAGTTCCCATTTCACTAAAAACTGGATTTCGGGATTTTTCACAAAAATTCTCTTCCTTATTGGTAGAATGGCATTAGTTATGTGCTTCATACACATTATTTCATTAGTTATTTTTTATTTCTAAAATACAAAAGTTATCTCTACTACTAGATTAATGTCAACTAAATTATATTTTTGTGTATTTGGTTGATTTTGTAATTTCATTTATATTCACTACATACATTCTGCTCTTCTCAGAATTACAAACACTGTAAAATTTCAAATTAAATTTGTTTACACGTAGTCTCCATATATATTCTAAAGAAAATATGCTCCAAGAAACCAAAAATCGTTCTACGTATTTTACTAATTTAACTAACTCACATCTTATTAAATATAGATGACTACAATCTATTATTTCTCTTCATGTCTAAAATATTTAATAATTATTTTATTAATATTAATATTTATAATTTTTATTAATATTTTATTATATTATTAGTAAAATAATGTTATAATCCAATTTCATAAACATTTAAATCGATTGAATATTTTCATTTTCCTCAATAATTTTTTTGATGTGTTGAGAAGAAAATACTATTATATTAGCCATGCATTTAATTTTGAAGTACATGCGAGATATAAAATTTGTAATTGCAGATTTTGTTGTCAAAATAAATTCGATCGAGTTGTAACTTTAAGTTCAAATTTCGAGTTCAAGATCGGAAGCGGAATTGAAGAGTTGTTCTGATCAATAAGTTGACGACTTCGAAAAAGGTAAAACAATACCTTAGGAAGTTTAATTAGAATGTAAGGACACTTGCATGCATTGCATGTTTTCAAAAATAAGCATTGCCGAAATTTTTCTAAATGTAAAAGTCTTCGGTTCAGGACAGACCAACTTGAACCGGTTCACGAGTTGTTGAACCGGTTCAAGTGTTAAAGCTTCGTTTTTAAAAAACACACTGGCCAACTTGAACCAGTTTAGGGGCAGCTGAACTGGTTCTAGTTCTGCAGCAATTTTTTGTAACTTTGTTTCCTACTCTGTTTCAACTTCCTATTATGTATTGACTTTCTTTAAAAACCTTATGCACCAAATTTATTTATTTTTCAAGTACAATTAGGGTTTCAAAAGTCTATATAAACATATTTTCTCACTTAGAGTTGGTGTGGTTTTTTGCATTAAAAATTATGATTTTCATTAAAAGTCTTTTTGTAAGATTTTTAAGAACATACACATTATAAACACACGAGTGATTTAGGGTATTGTTCAAATCCTGATCATGTTCAAGTCTATTGAAGATTGCATTTACAACGATCAGAAAAAATCAATTTTATTTCTTCTACACCAAATTCAGATTCGAAGAAAAAGAATTTTATATCACACTTGGAAGGGATGAAGGCGCTTGCGGAGTGTTGTTGATGTACGAATAATCCTTCTACAAGGTTCGAGGCATAAGTCTGAAGTTGAGAGCTATTGGATGGGAAGTTGCAAAGTTAGGGACGTTCAACGGATTGAGTCTTGGTAGAGTGAAGGGGTTTGAGTCTGAGTCAAAGTTCGGTATATTTTGCTTCATACATAGTGGATCGGTTTATTGGGATAGCACACAAAACTTCGATGTTTTTCAATTGATTTCCTTGCTAAAATCCAATGTCACTCTAAACTTTACTTGTTTTTATTTGTGTGTGATTGCTTAATTAACCGGAATTTTAGTAGAATACGATTGGATAAAGAAATGCGTGGTTAATCTCTCTCAAAATAGTTTTAAAACTCAAACTTTTCACAACCTATTCCGCTGCATAACTCACAGTACATACATCTAACTCTTATGCCGAACTTCTTTCTATTCATTTTAATGTTCAATTTTTTTTATATATATCTAAAATAAGAATTACATGTTAAGAAAATTAAAATCATGAAAATTGAGTTGATTTTACTCATTTATTTGTGCATTTCTCTACTCTTACTTCTAACTACTTTCTATACAAGAGACCATTGTAAACAAATGCTACCTAGCCCATACAATTATCATTTTTGTTATTTGAGATATGGGAGGAAACTCATCGAAAAGGAGTGCAATATCTTCCGGTTAGTAATTTTTTTTTTTCAATGAAACTTGAAAGTAATCCGAATGGGTTGCGTTGTCAGAAGAGATTGTTTATGAATAAGAGATTGGTCAATATGAACTTATTGGTTTTTTACTGGCTTCCTTGAAATGAATAGATACATGAATTTTAAATTCAATTCGCAAAATTATCCAACAATAAAGAAATAAAATTGGTGTAAATTTTGTTTCACTTACTTATTGGGTTTTTACTCACTTGACTTGCAATGAATTTGTGAGTTTTAAATTCAATTTGCAACATTATCTATGAATAGAGAAAAAAATTTGGTATTTATAAATATTATATATATATATATATATATATATATATATATATATATATATAAGACAAAGAATGAACAAAAATTAACTGTAATCACGCAATATTATATATATCCCTCCTCCCATTTGATAAGCAAAAACCAAAGGGTAGGTTTGGATTGAGACATTTGGTGTAATAGTGAGAGAAAAGGAAAGATAATATAGATTGAGTATGAGTTGTTTAAAATAATAATAATAAAAAAAAAAAACAAATGATATATAACCCTCCTTATCCTCGTATACTATCTTTACAAAAATGAAAAGTTATGGAGAGAAAGATAATGTTTAAATAATATTTTCATAATTTTGAAACTGTCCTCAACAATTAAAAGGAGAAATTATTATTCTACTCATGTATCATTTATTTAAAAGGACATTATAGTAATTTGATTGTTATTCTTTCGTTTCTTTTCCACCTAATTATATCCCAACAAGAATATTATCATTTATTTTCTTTTCTATTTTTTTTTTCTCGGCAAGAAAGGTAAATAAAATTAACAAGAGTTACAATCGAGTTCCACAGCACTCATGAGGTCGGGAAGAAAATGGTCCACAGAAACATACATTAGCTTTTATCTACAAAGCATATTTAGCTAAAGTATGAGCTGGGATATATCCTTCCCGATTGACAAAGTGCACTTTCAAAAGGAGAAGACTTCAAACAAAAAATAATGTCCTCTATATACACCTGCAAGTGTAAAGGACAAGAAAGCTTTACATTCACTATCCGAACAATAACTTTAGCATCCATTTCAAACTGAACTTTTGCAAACTCCATCCAATGACCCTTAATAGAGCCTGTCTCAACACATATGCTTCAACCACATACGGATCATAAATATAAGAGAAAAAGAAGGTTGCCGTTGCTAATAATACTCAATGATGATCTCTCAAGACCAGCCCACCACCAATTTTAGCTTTTTCTTTGTCAACAACTGCATCAATATTAACCTTAAGAACACCCATAGGAGGCCTAACCCATCCTCGGGATAGATCAATAGGCACCATTGGGGAACGAATAGTCAACATCGAATCCAAAGGCTCCCGAACAGATTAATATTCCATAAAACTATTGACAGCCAAACAAATAATTTTTTCAACAGACCACCTCTTTGACTTGAAAACAAAAGCATTTCTCGCTTTCCATAGGAACCAACACACAGTAGCTGCTAACCCTTACAAAGACAATCCATTTGAGACTTCATTCCATTCATTCACCAAATTTAACCACCAATCTGTCAAGGAACCCCTGCAATTTGAAGGCATCCACCCTAAGAGGGCAAACTCTCCAAATCATGGAAGCTCTGGGCAATCGTAGATTAAGTGTTTTAAAGTTTCCACTCCACTGCCACAAACTTTACACAAATTATTTGCAGCCAATCTTTCCCTTTTCAAAATTTCAAAAACCGCAATTTTATTATGCAAACATCTCCAGAGAAAATGAGTAATCTTAGGTTGAACTGTAACCTTCCATAACTCTTCCAATAGCTCTCCAAAATTTGAACACTACTACTTTCAATTTGTGTTGACACTAAAATTGGCTCCTAAGATCCGATTCGGAATTGATGTAGTGCGGGCGTGCCAGAACCAAATATATGATTCAAGTGTAAATTGTCAACTATAGTCCCTTTGAGAAAGTTGACTTTTAGGCGATTGCGAGGAAAAAAGGGAACAGTGAAACTCCTCTTGAAGTTCAGAATTGCGTTAATTAAAAGGACTTTTACAGTGAAAAATTTTAGTAGAAGATTGAGAGAGTAGAAAGGGGAGAAAAATAGATATAGAAAAAAATATGGAGAGAGAGATAAAGAGAGAGAGAGAGACATAACGAGATATTGAGAGATAGAGATAGAGAGATAAAGAAGAAATAGCAAGGATGCCATTTTGGGAAAGAGCTTGAGAAAGCAAAACACAATAAATAAATGATTCTAAGGGTGCTGGACCCCTATCTCAGCATGTCTCTTTGTTTATTTATAGAATAAAACGTTAACAAAATCCTATAAACAAGCATCCTAATTACATTACAACTTTATCACATAACTAAAAATGTAAATTCAAATCAAACTAATCCTATAGATAAACATCCTTATACAACTAAATAAATACTTCCTATCTATTTGTAACTTTAGTTATCCAAACCAACTCTATCTGTTGCGTTTTCAAAAATATTCCATCCGATCAATGATGCCCTTGTGTGTAGCTTTGTTCTTGTGTAAAATCTGCCACGTCATTGCACTTTCTATTGTAATCCATTTCCATGTTCTTAGCTTACTTAAACCATATGCATAGCCCAACCTTTTCTCACAGCCCAATCTCTTATCATGTCATTATACTTTAAGCCCAATTATAGCCCAAACCCAATTACCAAAATGGGTGTCAACAATGCCCCCCAATTTTGATAGCTGTTTCAATTAGGCTTCCAAAATTCAAATTACACTCATTGTATCGAGTTGATATACACACCATAGAACTACCCACTATCATCCTTATTCTAGTTTCAAAAATGGTTTAAGCTGAACACTCACCCTCTATATTTGACTCATTAGAGGCTTTTTTTTCCTCTATAAGTTCAAAAATAGTGGGTTGATACTTCTTCAAATACCTTCCATTTATTGGTCTTTTAAGCACCTCACCATCCAAATCCTTCAACTTGTATGCACCTCCATGTAACACTTGGTAAACCAAATATGGTCCCTTCCAAGTAGGTAACCACTTGCCATAAGTTCTATCTACTTTTCTAGGTGGAAGAATTGTTTGCCAAACCATATCACCCTCTGCAAATGACTTGAATTTCACCCTTTTGTTGTAAGCCTTCATTACCTTTGCTTTATGGACCATAAGGTGGTCTAAAGCAAGTTTCTGAACCTCATCCAAGTCTTCCAACTCGGCAAACATAGCTTCATTGTAATCGAAAGGTATTAAATTATGTTGTAAAGCTACCATTGCCAATTTTACATTTAACTCCATCAGCAACACAACATCATAGCCAAATGTTAGCCGATAAGGAGTTGTTCCTGTACTTGTTCTTTTCGAGTTTCTATAAGCCCACAAGGCTTCTGAAAGGGTTTCATGCCAATGTCTTGGCTTGTCCTTTATCATCTTCTCAATAATTTTTTTTTTCCCTAGATAGAGGAAAATTTTATAAATATAAATATAAATATTAAAATATAATGGATTCATGGGGCATACCCCACACCAAACATAGCCTAAAACAGGCACAACTCACCTAACCACATCCTAGTGAAACATAGTAAGAATATCTTAAAGACAAACCTCCAAGATATCCATAATTTCCTATAAGATACCTTTAGCTAAATCCATTGAAGAAGTATAAACATCATTATGTAGTCTAGCATTCCCCTCCTTCCACAAATAATATAAAGTTGCAGTAAAAATCATCTTATAGAACTTAATTAGCCCGCACAGAGTTCACTTTGAACTTCAAAGAACAATCCAAAGCAAGCTCCTGAATTGAATTAAAAGGCTAAAGATTCCAGTGACAAAAATTAGCCAAATTCTTCCATACCCTCCAAGTAAAATCACACAAGCAAAAGATATGATCATTATCCTCAATATTATTACAACAAAGCACACATTTAGAAGTCAGTGAATATCCCTTTTGCTACATATACGTATTTGTGAGAACTGCATTTTGCAAGACCATAACAGCATGGGTGGACCACCTTGGCCTACCACCATTCCAACAAAGCTCAAACCAGAAAACTTTCTGTCTTTTAACCCTATAAGCATTCCAAACAGATTTGAAAGTGAATTGATTATCCTGCCAATACATTTTATCATTCCCACCTTGAATGTTCTGCTATATAAAAAATTGCTGCTAGTTCACTGGAATATTGACCATATTCCACTGCCCATCATCAATAAAATCTCCAATGTATTTTTGTTTATCCCTACTGAGCTGATGCAAAACCCTATGACTATATATTTCAAATAAAAACTTCTCATCACACCATGGATCAAGAAAGATCTTGATATCAGTCCCATTACCGATTGTAAATCTGCTATTACTCTTAATAACATCTCTGGTCGACACAAGGCTCTTCCATATAGAAGAAGAAGAAATTCTTGGAACCACCTGCCAGAAAGAAGCACCTTTAAGGTAACAATTCTTGAACCAAGCCACCTAAATTCGATCCTTAGATAGTAAAAAATCCCATATTAGAACACACTTAGCAGCCAAGTTAAAATCCAACACTCTTCTTAAACCCAAACCTCCTTCTTGTTTTGGAGTAGCCAGCTTCTGCCAATTAAGACCATGCATTTTGAGATTGATATCATCATGTCCCTAAATGAAATTCCTTATTCTTCTCTCAATAAGTTTGATAACAGCTGCAGGTAAAGAATACACTGAAGTCTAATACTGAGTCAGAGGAGTAATCACAGCCCTACATAACTCCACTCTACCTGCCAAAGAAATATGTAACCCATTCCATCTAGTAGTAGTTGAGTTGACCTTGTCTAATAGCTTAGCACAGTCTCCCCTTCTCAACATTTTATTAGAAATAGGGAGTCGTAAATAAATAAAATGAAGTTTACCCTCCTTACACCCCAGGCACCTAAGCATAGCATTCTTTCTTTTGATAGACCTAGTAAAGAAGATCTCTGATTTCTCCTTACTCATAGAAAGACCAGATACATTTTCAAAGTGTAACAAAATCCTTTTAAGTGATAACACAACTTTATTTGAAGCTTCTGCTTGACTATTACCTTGAGCATAGTAGGGTGTTGAAGTCACCATTTTCACTTGCATATTGTGGCTGAGTTGTAATACCTCTCATGCTTGAAACACAGAGCCGTTATCGGCAAAAATTGTTTCTGGTAAACCAAATCGGTGAAAGATATGTCGCTCCAAAAACTATATCACAGTGTTGTGAGTCACTGAGACATATTCCTCTGCTTCTACCCATTTAGTAAAATAATCGGTAGCTAAAATAATCCAATGATGGCCCTTTGATGAAGGAGGATTAATCTGGCCGATTAAGTCCATAGCCCAACCTCTGAAAGGCCATGGCTTTACTAGCAACTGCATCTCTATAGCTGGAACCCATTGCATTGGGCCATGCTTTTGATAATCCATACAACCCTTGGCATAGGTCATACAATCTTTTCGCATTCCGGGCCAATAATATCCATATCGGTGTATCAACCATCTAATTTTTATGCCAACTTGGTGAGCTCCACACATTCCTTCATATACCTCAGCCATAATCTTTAAACCTTCAAACTTGCTAATACATTTAAATAGCAAACCGTTATCGGCCGATCTCTTATAAAGATCTCCATCCATAAGTACATAATCGACTGCATTTTTTTTTATTTTTCGATCGGCTTCTGGAGTTGGATGTTGTAAGAGCAAAATATAAGGAATCTGCCAATCATCATCATCTAACTTGGCAACATTAGTGGCAAAAACTTCTTCTATAACTTGATTTCTTGTTTCAGCCGATGGAAGAGATCGGCGTGTGATTTTCACTATCCTTTCCTTCATACCACTCGGCACCCTGATTCCTGAGGCAGTCTGTGCTAAATCATTCGCTATTTATTCATGGACCTTGGTCTATATTCCAAAGTCACATTATGAAATTGGTTGACCAATTGGGTTGCCAATGAATGAAATGGCTTTAACTGCCAATTCAAGCATCTAAAGTCTTTTCAGATTTGATTAATCACCAAACTTGAATCCCCAACAATGTGGACATCTTTGATAGCCATTTCCAGTAAAATTTCCAAGCCGATAATCAATGCTTCATACTCAGCTTGATTATTTGAGCACTTGAAATCCAAAAAGAAGGAAAATGAAATTTGATTCCCTAATGGGGATATTATTGCTATACCAGTTCCTGAGCCTTCACTGGTACTCGATCCATCGAACATTAAAGTGTAAGGAGTCATGAATATGGATGCCGAGTTAAGTTCATCATACACTTGTGACTCAATTTCAAGCGAGGGATGATCGGCAAGAAAATCTACCAATGCTTTTCCTTTAATTTCCTTTTGTAGAACTTATGCAAAGTTGAACTCCATTAGTGCTAAAGCCCATTTGCCAATCCGGCCTGTTATTAATGGCCTTGATAGCATATACTTTATAAGATCTGTTTGACAAATAATATAATCCAACACAGGCAACATATATACTCTTAATTTATTTGCTGCAAAATACAAGGCCAAACATAATTTCTCAATCGGTGTATATCTACACTCGACTGGAGTTAAAACTCGGCTGAGATAGTATATTGCTTGTTCACTTCTTGCTATACTCTTAATTTATTTGCTGCAAAATACAAGGCCAAACATAATTTCTCAATCGGCGTATATCTACACTCGACTGGAGTTAAAACTCGGCTGAGATAGTATATTGCTTGTTCACTTCTTGCTTCGTTTTCTTGTGCCAGCATAGCTCCTATGGATTCTTCAGCAGCCGATAAATATAACTTCATTGGCCACTTCTTCCTCAGCGGTATCATGACAGGAGGACTTGACAAGTACTTCTTGATCTGCTCAAATGCCCTTTGATGTGTATCATCCTATTTGAATTCTTCCATCGGCTTCAACTTGAGTAACGGGAAAAACACATGTAACTTACCAGCTGTATTGGCAATAAATCGCCTGAGATAGTTTACTTAACCAAGTAACCTCTACAATTGTTTCTTGCTTCTCGGCGCATTGACAGCAAAAATTACCTTAGCTTTATTCTTGTCAATCTCTATGCCCCTTTGGTGTACCAAGAAACCCAAAAAGTTTCCTGCCGATACTCCAAAGGCGTATTTTTTTGGATTAATTTTCAACTTATTAGACCTCATTCTCTCAAAAGATGCTTTGAGATGAACCAAGTGCTCCTTTTTTGTTGCTAATTTCACTACCACATCATCAATATATACCTTCATAAACTTGCCAAGCATATCATGAAAAATAGAATTCATACCTCGCTAATATGTAGCACTAGCATTCTTCAATCCAAAAGGCATTGCCACCCACTCAAAAGTTCCAATCGATCCCAAACATCTGAAAGCTATCTTTGGGATATCCTCCTCGGCTATATAAATTTGATTATAGCCTGAGTGTCTATCCATAAAAGACATGATTTCATGCTTAGCAGCTGCATTAATCAATTGATCGGCTATTGGCATAGGATACTCATCTTTTGGGGTTGCCGAGTTGATGTTTAAAAAATCAACACATATTCATAATTTGCTATTCTTCTTAATAATAGGAACTACATTTGATAGCCATTCAACATACCTTATAGTTCGACTGAAACTAGCATCCAACAATCGTTCAATTTCCACCTTGATTTTATCTACCACCTCCTGAGACATTCAGTGAGGTGGCTGTTTATATAGCTTATAGCCATCTTTAATAGGCAACCGATGTTCCACCAGATCTCTGGATAAACCCAGCATTTCCTCATAATTTCAAGCAAAACAATCACTGTACTCCTTTAACATGTCGATTACCTCGGCTTGTAATTCTGGTTTTAACAGTGCACTGATGTATGTTGGTCTAGGCTCCGCATCAGTACCTAAATTCACTTCTTTCAATGGATCTTGAGTTTCTGCTTTAAGATCATCAAGCTTAGTTGGTGCCAATTCCAAATCTTCTAGTTTAATAGCATCCAACTTTTCGTTCTCAATTTGATCAACTTTGACAATATTAGCCGATAATCCTGGTTCTATTTTTGATTCCTTTTCCAGTTGTTTTTTAGCTATGTATGCTTGTAACCTAATGCAAGCGGCCCTATAGGCTTACTGCCGAGCTGCTTCTTTTTCAAGTTTCGCTTCCATTAACAACTTCTTCTTTAATTATAGTAAGCCGAGGGAATTCTACCTTCGGCCTAGAATTTTCTTGTTACAATTTATCGATTTCATGATCGGTAAGACTTCTTCTCATGGTTGCCGATGTAGGTCTTCCATCAGCTCATGTTCCCACAAATCGAATAGGAACACACTATTTATCATACAAAATAGCATCTGCCGAGTGCAATTTTACCACAAATGGCTTATCATCTATCTTTACCTTATCCCCATCCTAAAAGATCAGCATCTGGTGTAATGACGATGGGATGCACATATTTGGATGAA